AGACTGTCCACGGTTAAGAGAGTGTCCCGTGATTTTGGCACGCCTTGTATACAGCTGTGTATCGCATTTATACCGCGGATATCGGATTATCGACTCTGATACGAATCCTAATAACGTATATCGGCCGCAACGCGGCCGGCGAGACACTTCGCACCGCCGTCACGTAATTGACACATTGTTCTGGATTCCCATGGAAATCCGGCACACGCGACGTCGGATGATCGCGTCCGCGCGCGTGCAGGATTCTTGGACCTCGATCGACAGCCGGGAGATCGACGATCGGCATTTATGGACGTCGACTGCTGGACGAGAGCTCGTGATAGGAGAGAAAATGCAATCTCTCGAGTAAGAAACTCGCAAAGAAAGAGAGAGAGAGGGGGAGGGGAGAAGGAGAGAGGAGAGAAAGAGAGAGAGAGAGAGAAGGAGCGAAAAGAAGGAGAGAGAGTTTCGCAATTCTCGGAGAAGGCATAAGCGCAAAATTACATATGCAATACCAACGGCAGTGGCAAGTGCCAGTCCTTGAGTCACATTCCCAGGATTCTCGCCAGGACTCGCTTTTCCACACGAGAGAAATCTCCAGGGTAATTCAGGGTAATGGTGGCCGAGTGTCTCAAAGTTCAAAGCGTATTTCCGCGCGCGTTTAAACGCGCGCCCGAGACGACTTAACTCTTTGGAAAGCGTCGCGATCTCGTGAAAATCGAGCGCGTGCCTCGAGAGAGAAAGAGAGAGAGGGAGCTTTGTTCGCGTCGCTTTTCTTGCAGTTTTCCGTCTCGCGGACAAATTGAGCCGCGCGCCTCGCCACTCAACGTGCCTCGTGATTATGAAATTCACGTGTTAGAACTCTTCGGCCGTGCTTTTCAGTTGCGACCTTGCCGCGTACGTGGCATTAGACGAATCGAAAGGCGCGAGCGCACGTCGTCTACTATTTTCGAGTAATGCGCTCTTTGTCGCCCCGGGCTGCATTCCGTCGACGTCGCAAGCCGGCAAAGGAAATTGCCGCGCGAGTCCCCAACGGGGAACCGATCGTGATTCATACTCGTCGCGGCATGATCTAATTTGTAAAATTATGAAGCGTGGATAAAAGGTACACATTAATTATACAACCTTCCGTTATTATATTATATTATATCCATACGTTGGTACTAATATTATTAACAGAAATTATTAGCACACTAAGAGAAAGAACATTTAAGAAGTAAAAAAAAGATTTATTTTTACTAATAACATATTTATGTTGAAAAAAATTGTCACATTCAAGTAAATATCGCTAAGGATTATTGGAGTAGTTTATTTTATTTGGATTAAGTAAATATTACTTGAGTGTAGTAGCATATTGGAAGAAAAAAAGTGCTACATTCAAGTAATGTTTACTTAATCCAAATAAAATAAACTACCCCAATATTCCTTAGTAAATATTTACCTGAACGTAGCAATTTTTTTCTGCATATTTATACCAAGATATATATTTCCATATTGAAAAACTATATATAGACTATATATAATATAATATTTCTTTCGTATAAAAGACATTTACATATATGTGTTAAAACAATTGTGACAAATATTAAATTCATAATATTGAGAATATCGGAATTTATTGTTAAAAAGTATTTACCGGACAGAAAAATCGAAATTTAAAATCACTGAGTTTCTTCAAAAATTCGAAAGTAAATACTTTTTTAAATTGAAAACCATTTTACATTTACTTTCAGTCATTCATTTACAAATTTAAGCATTAATGTAATCAAGTAAGTATTTACTACAAGCTATTAAAATATACTTAAATTGATAAAAATATTATTTAAAAGACTGAAAAACAGGTTATTATTACAGGTTATTTGCTTGATTTTAGCACTTTTCTTGCGTAGCTTTTTATGAAAGCAATTATTTATTCCGCATATTCAAATAAAAAATATAGATTAAAATAAATATGTTATTAGTACCCAGTAAATAAACAAATGTATTTTATTTCTCAGATATTTTTCTCCGAGTGTGGAAACGTGTGTAACTTGTTAAATCGCGCGTTTCGATACGCAGCAGAAAAAGGCATTCGCTAATATGAAAGTCATCAATCGTGCTAGAGGGTGTTTTCGCTTAGGGCGAAAGAGGGCTGCGCGAATGAAGGAAGAGAGACAAAAGCGCGACGCGAGTTACGGATTGTCCGGATGTAGGCAATAAAGAGAGGCTCGCCTTGAGGAAACGCGTGGCTGACGCCTCGATTCATTGAGGACATCTCATCGCTCCGATCGAGACGATCCTTGAACCAGCCGTCGCATTTCGATTCAAGAACACCGCGCGCCGAGTTCGATCACATCCGCGATCGACAGTTCGTCCGAGCGGCGATTAATCCGCGGGAGCGACCGATAACGCGCGATAATCTTCATGCTTCTCGCTCCCTCCGGCGACGGAACGAAGTGGGCGAGCGCTGATTCCTGGGGTTGCCCTCGATAGAAAAAGAACAGTGTAAAAACTTAACGACGATCGAAGGATACCGATGAGTCTACGAGATCTTTTATGTCGGGCTGCTTCGCCAAGTAACGCGCGCGCGACAATGCACACGACAAAGTACACGTCACACGCACAATATATACGCGTGTCACAGTTTAAAATACTCTCTCGCGTCTGCTCTCGCCGATGCGACGTGTAATTATCGCGAGTTGGAAAATCAGCCGCGTAATGAGAAACACCGTCGTCTGTCGGGAGCGCTTCCATCTAGAAAATTAGAGTCCGGACTCTAACATTCCATCTCCGTATAGAGACGAGAAAAAAAAGCAATCTTGTCCACGGACTTGATTGCTTGCATCACACGAGAGACAAGTGTACGAGAGCTTTCTACTCGCGGGATAAAGTTCGCCTCTCCGCTGCAAGTGTAAGCAAGCAGCGTTCGCGAATGAACTTCGCGATATCGTATTTGCGCGAATAACGACATTTTTTTTTCAACAATGCGATTGATGCACACGGACAAAACAATTCCGTCGGTTTAACTGAAGTTTCCATAGCTTGGGGACCGGACGAGAACTCGGTTGTAGGACAAGAATTTTTAGTAGGTTTCCGTTCATTCGGTTAATTACTTCTGGCTCAGCGAGTTGCCTCGACTGAATTTTCAAGCGGCTGAACGTCCACGAAAAAAAAAAATTAATCTTAAATCGAGTCTTAAATCAAGATAGATGTTCCCGTATGCAAGCAAAAATATTAAAATATTCTTCGAAGACTTTTAGTCTGAAATTAAATTAAATCGAGCAATACTTGTGTCAATACAAATTCAATCAAATCAAGACTGCAAACCTTCTGTGAAAATTATAATATTCTTGCCTATGAGAATATCTATTTTTAATTTAGGATTAATTGTTTCCTGTGTGCAAACTTTCAAATCGAGGCAAATGGGAATGCTTCGCTCTCCGGGGAAATTCGGATTCTCGTGTGACTTCCGCCGACGTAGCGGAATCTTTGAGAAAATCCCCAAGAAAGTCAGAGTAAGAACGCGGATCGTAAAACGTACGAACGGCCGTGCAAACTCCGGCGGAGCATTCTAGAAAATGTAGGCAGGCTATATCGAAGGCAGAGCTCGTAATGAAGTCAATTACAGTTAACGAGATAACGTCGCGATCATTCAATTGAGAATCCCCATTGGAGGCGCACGCACGTGCATTCATTGTCGGTATTGTGTAAGTGCGACATCCGAAAGGGCGCGCAACGCGCCGTCGCGTTCGCAGAATTCCACGCGCGCGCTGCGCCGTAATTAGGCTAATTATTAGCCGACGTTTTCAAACACAACGCCGAAAAGCGGAACGGTGATTTTGTCGTTCGCTTTGTCTCACCTCCGGCGTTTCTTTACAATTTTATCTCTCTCTCTCTCTCTCTCTCTCTCTCTCTCTCTCGCGTGCGCGATCGTTTACAATGTATCGCGACGGATAATGTAAGAAATGGTATCGAAACATTGCAGCATCCAGCAAATGTATTTTGCAGGATGTACTGAACTTTGAACGTCGCTACCAAAAACACTGCAACGAGAACATGATGGGAGACTACATTTAGGGGCTGACTGTGAATGTGATTTACAGTATAGTTGTAAATCTCGAAAAATAATTCACTTCTAAACATCTCTTGTAAACATTGTATATACTTTAATATAAATATATATATGATAATTTTTTTATACAGGTGTTGTTTTCTCTGACTTTATGTGAACTAAAATACGAAAATTCGTCCTTTTCGATATTGTATAGAAATAAATAAATTTCAAAATATTACTGGGTTCTAGTCACAAAAGCCGAGTTTTCAGGAAATAATTGTCTATATAAGCAATTTTCAATAGTTTTTAAATATAAGTAAAAGGCAGGATATAATATTTACTCACTTTCCCATAGGAACAAAAATTGTGTTATATAGTGTTGTGTATTAAAATTATTACGTGTACGGAACAGCCCGATATTTTCATTTTCATTCGACTAATTGCCGACTAGTTTCAATTTCCGTCGCTGTTTCATCCGAACGACGAACCAAAAAGAACACGCGGCTCTCACGGGATAAGCCGCAAAAAAGTCATAAAGTGAGCAGAGAGAAGAGTGGAGTACTTATTAATACTTTGGGGATACAATATCCCCAATAAGGTTTAACGAAAATAAGCGAAACGAGAAAAAGAGTGAAGCGCCAGAATGGACGAAGCGAATGACAAAAGAAATAGTAATATGAGTAAAGTACAGTAATATACACGCCTGATAAATAGAAGACTAAACTAATCACGCAACTGAACTAATTACGCAGCAGTGGGACACATAATCCATAAGGCAAATAAATATGGAATATTAAATTACCAGAAAAAAAAGCGAAATATTGTATCAAAGAGAGAGGCGGAGAGAGAGAGAGAGAGAGAGAGAATAACGCACGTAGGCAAAACAAATGCAAAGACGATTGCAAAATTGCGTTCGAGAAAGCGCTTTCCTGCCGATATTCCGCGCACGCGTCGCGCTGCGTCGAGCGAATCGCGCGTATCTACCTACCAACTTCAGCATGCTGCACGGAGAATTCCAACATGGTCCACTGAAAACCGTGGACGACGAAGATAACAGCATGTGACGACGACTACTACTATGGCTCCTTCGCAGGCGTCGCGACGCGAGGAGGCTGATTTCTTCGGCCAGTCGAATCGCACGTTCGATCGATCGAGATCAGTCTGCCATTTCTTAGTCTCCCCGCTCCTTCGAGCTCGCACTAGATACGCTCGAGTTCAATGAGTGTCCCGATAAGGCGAGATTACGATTTCGACGTAATTTTTTCCAAGTCGGCTACGAAGATTCACGGAGATTTACGCGGGGATTTCCGGAGGAATCGAGAAGAGGGTCGCCGCGGAAATTCAAACTTTGAACGTGACACAACTGGCGGGAAGATCCGAAAGTCCGCGAGGACTGGAGATTCGATGTGAAAATTCGACGGGAAAATTGTCACCGCGTCAGATCGTCCGGCGCTTCGACACGGTTGATCCGACGCGACATTCACGCCGGTGGCTGGCCGGGAAGACCGAGGAGAACTCGGAGAGACGTCGATCCGAGGTCGGCAAACCGCCGGTGGACCTCGGAGGGTTTACGAGCGTGACGTGTTAACGCGTCGATCGAACGAGCGAACTCCGAGGACCTCGAATTAACCGACTGTCAACCGGATCGAGCGCGTCAGAGCACTTTCCTCACAGCTGCGCCTCGCGGAACCGCCCTCCTCGTCGCATCCTCCCCCGGGAGTCAACTCGCTTCCGGCAATCCCACCGGACGACGACGTTCCGGCGACTCGACCGCGGATTTCCACGAGGCAGGTGCAGCGGCCGCAGCTTCCGAACCGCAGCTTTGCATTCCGCTCCGGCGGAATTCCGCTCGCTCGCTCGCCCGATTGCTCGCAGTGAGAGAGAGAGAGAGAGAGAGAGAAAGAGAGGTCACACGTTCCGGGGCACCAAAATGGCGCTGGCGCGATAGCGAGGAGAGAGACTCGCGGAAGAGAGTGACGACGCGCAACCACGCACGTGGAGATTACAGAAGCGGCAGAAGAGAAGCTCCGTTCCGTAGAAAGCGTTCGAGGCGCACTAACACGCTCCAACGTCGCGACGCCGAGCCAGGCCGAGCGAGCCGATCCCACGAGGCATCGTCGTCGTGCGCGATACGCGCCCTGAAGTAACGGGGCGAGCTGATTGCCGAAGAGAGCGCGATGGAGAGAGAGAGAGAGAAAGAGCGAGATAGATGGAAAGAAAGAGAGAGAGAGAAAGAGAAAGGCATAGTCCGTACCACGAGCGTAACGCGGGGAAGGAAGGGGCAGGACAGGAGGGGGACAGATAGACTTTTCACCTTCGACGAGCACCGAGTGACCGAGTGGAGCCGAGAGCGAGAAAAGACACCGAGATGATGGGAAATCTAGCGAGGGAAGTTAACGACCGTAAGAGTTACGACCGATTACCGCGATCGGCGGGACGGCAGAGGTCAATCGATTCAGGGGTCAGCGGGGCGATCGGATAGGCGAACGCGTGGATGTTGACACTGAGAGAGAGAGAGAGAGAGCGTGTTGAAGGATATACCCCGGAATGCCTTCCAATTGATTAATTCCAATTGATTAATTTGGGTCGTTGATCGCGGCCGACGGCGTCGGTGGACGCTCCGTATCGACGCGTTCAGCGTCACCTGTGAAAGTGTGATGTGAGTTTCCGCAGCCACCCGGGCGCGAGGTTCTGTATTTGCTCGATTAGAAATGATCTTACCGGGTGTAGAGGAATATCGACTGGAAAGCGACAAAGTATCGTCAACGCACCGGGAACTTCAGCTTGGCGGCACTCGCGCGTGAATCCGGCGTGGCAGTCAGTGTGTTCAGTTTTAATTCATACGTTGAAAGAAAAAAGGAAAACATTCAAGTAAATGTCTGCTATACGGTAAAAAATATTTTGCACTTGTGTTAAAATCGGTTCTTGTTAAAATATTTCCGACATTTCCCTGCGTTATTTCGACGTTGACGACGAAGGTCAAAGATTCGAAGATTCGATGTCGAATTATTCGAAGACTCGAAATATCGAAGCTGTTAATACAACTTATTTTGGAGAATGCAACAAAGTGCTGTGCAATAACCGATCATCCGAATTATCAGTTTAATCCGGGTAATATTAAGATGTCCTAAGACATCGTAAAGATATTTTTTACACAATAAAACGTTTCCTAGACAATAAAACTTTGAGACTTCGAAGAGACGAAGCTCCGAATATAATTTTCAGCCTTACCAAAAAGTGCCGCATTCAAATAATATTTATTCAATCCCCAACTAAAATAATTGCTCCAATATTCTTTGGAAAATATTTACTCAAATGTAGCACTTTTTTTCTCTTTCGGTGTATTCAATTAACACGTTACGTAAACCGGGCTGATCGACGACTTTTCGCTTCCGCTATATAGGTCGCACGCGTCCCATAATGATGATGACTGTACTATACACAACGTTTGAAGATTAATGCGTAATTTTATGAAATATTTCGTGTGATGACGTTGTATTTCATAGTGAAAATATCGAGCGGAACGGAACCGGGCAAGGAACGTGTTAATGCGAGGAATGCGTGTAGCATCGCGGCTAAATTTATTTCTCGATACGCGGAAGGTTATTGCCGCGACGGTTATTGCTCGCGAGAATTGCCCGGTTAAAATGGAGCAGCGCGCGACGAGGGGTGCGAAGAGAGCGGGAGGGTACACGAGGAATTCGCTGGGAAATTCCGTGGCTGTTTCGCCCGCGCGGAACGCACGACAGGCGCGCACGCGCGCGCGCGCGCGCGCGTCTGGAAATCGCTCGGCCGGAATGCGATGAAGAAGAGAGCGGTTGTTTACAAAAATTCTATCAACATGATTAATGTAATCCGCGATAAAAACGTGAAAACAACGTGCTGCTTCGCCACCCGCGAAGGACTTCCGATAACTATTATTTGCTTTCTTCCGATAATGATTATTTCGCGATCTTCATTGCTGCCGATCCGCTGCATTCCGCAATGCTTATCGATCAATTTCATGACACGCCGCAGACAATTGAAAACGTGACGTATGAAGACATACGGGATAAATGAGCCACTCGCGAATTTTGTTTCTCAACACTGTTAACGAGATGGATCGGATCTTTCCCGAATTTCTCGAGACTTCGAAAGTCGAGTGAAAATCCAGGAAAATGCCTGAAAATATTTAAATGAATATATTTATTCCAATGAATTAATATATGTGATAATTAATAGATTTGAAGATTTTACGAAATTCCGAAATGTCCTCAATGCTTTTGAAAGAGGATATAAATTGGTGACACACTTTAACTTTATTGTATAGTCAATAATTCAAGGTCATCTTTATTTTTTAAATCGGAATTATATAGGTTTTTTTAAATATAAATCGTTTTCTCCGTTCATTCTGCGTCTAAAAATTCCAGGGTAACATCATGAAAAAGTAAATTCTTTTCGAGATATTTGATATTTTTCAGCACAATATATAAAATATCTCTTAAAGTACTCACTTTTAGATAACATCATCTTTACATTTTTCTACATAATAATATGAGAAAAATCGTTTATTAATCATTGTATATCGATGCATTTGCAAAATATAATGAATTTTTTAGATATTTCTGTTTATTTACAGCGATCGATTACAAACGTATTAAGGTGATGAAAAGTGAATACTTAATGAGATATTTCACATTTTGTGCTGAGAGAAATAACAAAATAGAAAGTATCTTTAAAAATATTCACTAGTACTTTTATACGCGGAATGAACAGAGAAATTGACTTGTATTAAATAAACCATATTATTCTATTAAAAAAATGAAGTTGACCTTAAAATGACCTTAAATAATTGATTATACAACGAAGTTAAGGTCACCAACTTATGTCCTCCCTCAAACTCCATAAATTTCGAAACATTTTTTTCTAAAACGCCATGTTTGTTATGTAATCAAGCGCAATTTTTTCAGCGAGCCACTCGGTATAATACTCTTAAGAATGTTCGCGGCATACGGGACGATTAGTGTGAATTGAGTTCTCAGAAATATATCGAAGATGTCTGGAAGTGCTGTGATTTTACGACCGCTCGCGTCACTTGTGTTATCACCGAATAATCCCGCTCGTATCGGCGGTGATCGACGATTGATTACACCACTGGATACGCAAACTCCTATCGCGACGTATTAGTTCCGTCTGCACGGCAGCCGCGTGATGTTTGTAATTGAAGCGTGATGGACGCCAAGCGGAAGCAGGAAGAGAAGGCGACAGGCTCGTCATTATGACTGATCGAAATAATAAACGTTCCATTCCATTGCCGGTCGACCGTCGATTTCGGATCACGAAGACGTAACCGGCGGCGCTGGCAAGGACGGCGCTTTGTTTAAGGACGAGCTCTTATCTCGATGAAATTTTCGATTATGTTGCAACATCGATTGCTTCCGAGGTCTTCTTCTCTTTCTCACGTATTTGCCGCGCGGATGATATATATATATATATATATAAATCGCTCTACTTTGCGCAGACACGTATTTCTCGAACAAACTTCTCGTGCTCGTCAACGACGAGAAAGACGAGTCAAGAGGGGCCGGAACGCGAATTGCAATGCGCAGTGAATGCAGTTGTGATAAACGCGATTTATTAGCACACGTCTCGTAATTAATTCAATTCGAGGTTCAACTTCAGAGCCTTTTGGTACTGGGTTACGTTATTTTTTAACTCTCTGCACTTGTATGTCCGCTCTCAATTCTGCCGGAACTGAGAGATATTAAAATTAAGTGTTTTAATTATTTACTTTCAGAAGAGATTATATAACTGAGGAATATATGCAGAAGAAATGCTATATTCAAGTAAATAATTATTCCGATATAATTATTCCAATATTCCCCTTTTACTTTACTACTTACTTGGATTAAATAATATTTATTTTATCCAAAGAAATAAAATATTTCCCAAATAAATTATGCGAGTGAAAATTTGCCAAGGAATATTGAGGTAATTATTTACTTGAATCTAACGCGTTTCCTCCTGTGTACGAGAATTCGTGACGAAGTCTTGCAAAACCTAAAAGTTATGTCCGTCTTTAACGTTTTACATAAAAAAATTGATTACGAGCCGGCATACTGGGTTCGAATTGTTACGTTGCGAGTGCAAAGGGTCATATGATCTTTCCCCTTTGAGAAACGATCTCTCCACGAATCTGCGCCGGGTTTCTCCGCATCACTTCGAACGTCACTGCAGATTTCGTAACTCTTCATTAGATCGAGCGGCAAAAGGACAAATTTCCACGCAGCATCGCAGCGGCGTTTCTTCGCTTCGCGATATCCGCGGATGTTCCTCTAAACCTCCCCGAATTCTCGCAAATTCCCATCCAAACGGATCATCAAGGTTCCCCGTGGCTGTTTCGCTTTCATGTCTCGGGTACTATCTTACAAGCTCGACTGATGTCATTAGCGCTGCTTATCAATGCTTGCGCGTGACGTGATACGCGCGCGCGCGCAAGTAACTGTCTAGCTTTGCGCGACGTAAAACGCTACATGCGCGTTTCATACCTCGAGGCTCTCCTCGGTGACGACGTAAACCATATTTGTACTCGCGATAATAGCGACCTCGGGAAGGCCTCGTCGACGACCTCTTCGCTGGTCTCCCGGTCTCGGGTCTTGCACGTGGCTCGTCACCGTCCGATCTCTTCAAACGTTGGAGATCGCTCGGTCTTCAAGACGCGAGCGATTCGCTTCCGGTATCAATGACGAAGCGATTTTAACCCCCCAATGTGGAATTATTCTATTATGCAATAAATTGGAAAGCGATTGTAAATAATAATATTTCATATTTATTATATATGTACAATTTAATTATTATATATATAATTTAATATTGATTTTGTTTTTATAATATTTAGTGAACATGTTTGATTTTTTGCGAAATTCCACTTCGTGTTGAGTCTTATAGGCACTCCATATTTTCGTGTAATTTGATTAATTAATTAATACACATAATTTTCATCACGCGAAATATTCGGTATTTATAGGACTTTGAGTGTCACGAGATTATTAATAATTCATATATTTAAAAGTTTAGAAACACAAAGTCTAAAATTTCGGACAGCACGGTTATCCGAAGTTTCAGCTTTCTTCCGCGATACGAAAAGCAAAATGGCAGCGTGCTCGTTGTACGAGGTACAAGAGGTTTATTTACCCGCACACGCGTCACGCTCTACGAGCGGACAATAACTCAATTAAGAAAACGAGATCATCAATTGAGCCGTTTCCGTCACCGGCGGGTGATATTGCGCGACGTTCGATTTACGAACGAATGAATTAGCGACGTCTCGGCTCATTGGCCGCCCCGGCGGATTTCTGGGAAGCGCTCATCGCCAAGCTGTGACAATAATCAAGTGCGGAGTGCAAAATGTAAGTCAAACAAAATTCGTAGGTAGGTATGCCGCTGCCGCTCAGCACGAGCTGAGTGATAACGAGCGAGCGAAGTCAACGTGGGAGATAAGGTATCGCTCAGCTAGACTAAAAATCGAACGGAGACAATCGGACGATATAACCGGCGTACGAGCGCGCGCGCACAATAGCGGTCGTGCAAACAAACGGTGGCTGGAAAAATTTGACGGAATGGAAATTTTGCTCTCGAGCCGATATTTATCGGCGCGCGTTCCCTCGTCGGGAATCATCGAAATCGCGTTGCGATGCGTTACGTCGCGCACGGGTGGCTTCGTGTTTCGTATTTCGCGTTCGAGTGCGTCGCGTGAGCCAATAAACCGCGCGTACCGGCAGGCCTCTCCGTCGTCGTCGTCGTGTTACCATCGCGTTAATGGCAGATTTTATGATTTAATAGATCCGGTTGTTTCGCCAGACGTCCACTATAAAGTTACTCCTCTCGTTTCAAGACCGCGCTGATAAATTTTACAGAACGGTCAATTGGCGAGAATAGACGGTGCGCGCTGGTGAGCTCGCTCGTAACGCAGTTGAAAATCTTAGAATCGCAACTTCCCTCCCGCACGACCAGCCCGATGCTGTTTTTTCCTTCACGCTCGCTCCGCGCGTCTGTGCACCTTGGAATATATTAGAGCTCGTTTCTTTTCGATACGATCTTTTTAAAATACCCGATCTATTTTTCCTTGCGGTTTCTTGGAACTCCAGATGTTTTCCTTTTACGATCTTCTATCTGTCTCTCTTCGGAGTATCGCCATTTTTTCTCCGTTATAGCCCAATGTCCGAACTCTTTTCGTTCCGACAAACTTGTAAAGTATATTTCGCTGTCCTTTTGCCGCTTAATTGGACGTGTCTATTTGATGTTCCTTTTCTCTTGCTGTTCCAGGTATTTCATTTGGAGAAAGACTCGCTTAAGGTAGCTGGTTCGTCAAACCATTTTCTTAAGAATCTATTTATTACATTTTAGTTGCGTATTGATAGAAATACTATCTGCACGTTTGCAAAGTTTCGTTAGAAAATGACGATCCATTCGGAAACTGAAATACTCGCGACTAAAGATGACACTTTCTATATTTATTACTTGAGACCAGAATGTCATGTTTTTAATTTTCTCTAAATCATATTTAGAATTTTAATAAAATATTATTATGATATTAAGGAGTAACATAGATATATAAACATTTCAAAATGATTGACCATTTCGTTTTAAAAATATAACCATAGGAAATTTACGATTTATATTCATATTTGCGAGATATACACATATACCACTTTCTATTATATGTGCACTTCTATTAGCTCAACTGGCACATAAATAAAGCATCAATAAGAGAAATAAAAAATAAATAATACCTCCATGTTTGTATTGTTGTGTATATATTTGTCTTAATTTCGCGTGTACTCGTTCAAAAATTAACATTTATTACTCAGATAATTAAGTCAAGTTATAGGAAAGTATTTTCTTTCGGTAAATAATCAACTTATGTAGACGTCCCTTAATATCGCTACTAAAAATCTGGCACTCTACGGACTAACTTTAAAGGAGAAATAATGAGACGTTGGATGAAATATGTTAAAGCTGTCAAGTATGATCCTTTCAAATCGAACAGTCTCGATCGTTAACGGCACGTGAGAATTAGCCAAAGGCACGACATCTAAACAGGATCAAGGCCGAGACAAACGCGACCAAGGATCAAAAACTGTAAATCTCGGTAGCTCATGGGCATCGACGTTAAACTTAACAGTTATAAATCGCAAGACGGACTTTGAGGTGACGTTTAACGGATATGTTGAATAAATCGACTTGATAAGAAAGCGACTGACAAATGTGCCTTTTTTTTATATCTCGATGCAACGGGATGCTCCGTTGAAAGGGCTTTATAGCTTGATTAAAAAGACCGAGACGAATTGCTAAATATGATATTTCATCTTCTTAATGATGGATGCTATATCGCTAGTCTACATTCGAACCACTACCGTAAATTTATCTCCCTTTCTTTTATTTTTGACGCAAGACTAACGGAGCTAAATGCAGGTGTGTAAATCTTTGCTGGCGCCGTTTGCGGCGCAGAAATAAGCACTTGTTTGTTCGTGTGAGCATGTTGAGCTATTTTTGTATCGAAGACGTAGCGCCGCGTAATCGGAGGAAGTTTTTCGGAGGTGCGGAATTGCAACGCGATAAACCTCGGGCAAACGTGTCCGATTGTGTCGAGTGGAAATTGGTGTGGCGATCGGGAGAGACGGTAAAGCGATTTTCCCTTGGAAAATCGAGCAAGGAATCGTAAAAACAATAAAGGCTAAAGGAAAATCGTTAAGAAAGCGAATCCTAAAAACTGAAGAATTACAACGGTAAACGGTGTAGCAGAGATTTACGCGCGAGATTTCACAGACGGACCATCCGATGCGAGAACGCTTCTTATACATGGAAAAAAAGTAGCATCAATTTAAGACTCATATTTTCGTAAACAGAGTGTCTGATGCAAAGCGTGCCAACCGTTACATACTTGTAGCTTAGATCAATGTGAATAAAAAAAGTCTTCTGTATATTGAAATTTGGACCTTGAATCTGTCGCTAAATACAACAACTGTCATATACTTGTAGATTAGATCATTCTGAACAAGAAAGTCCATTACTATTTTGCAAATAACACGTAAATTTTCGAATTTATTTTACAAACTACGCAGAATTTTGAGTTATTAATTATAAAAAATGGCCGTGTATAGAAACTTCTATAATTAATAATTCAAAAATTTTCGTAGTTATTTGCAAGAAGTAGAGGAATTTTTTTCTCAGAAGGGCTTAATCTACAAGTAAACGGCGGCTGTTGTACGTAGCGACAGATTCGAGGCTCGAAGTCCAAGATTTAATATACTAATGTCTGTTGCTATGCACAACACTATCATACGTGGATTATACTATTTTTAAGTTATTAATTAAAGAAGCCTTTAGCCACTTTCAATAATTAATAACTCAACAATTAATACCTCAAAATTTTGCGTAGAGGATTTTTTGTTCACACTGATCCAAACTACAAATATATATATGACGGATGTTCCACTTAGCGATAGACACTCTGTGTATAGAATTTCTTCATTTATAAGAGCAAGTTTTATCTTCATATAAGATTACATATTTTTGCTTATATATGAGAATATATCGGTCTTGAATTGATACTAATTCTTTTCTCTGATTAGACTTTACAATTATCTGACGGTTTTATCGACGGTGCACCGTAATCCCGAACGGAATTTCTAAAAATATTTGAATGAAGTTGATATTATCATTGAACAAACATTATCTACTAGAAAGAGCAAAGAAACCGAGAATCGTGGAGTAGCTTATCGCTGAAGGTGCGGTGAGATTTAAATTCCTCCCGTCGTCCCTTGACACGTGCCATATTCGCTTATCAAAAGCACTATATCGGGACCTCTATCAGCGAATACATCGATCAAAGACCGTAATACAGGAATTCGGACCGCGAAGGGATCATACGTCTCACCTGTTCGAACAATAGACGAACGAAAGATTCCATCTCGCGACACGTCGTTAAAGCACGGACGTTCGTTCTCTTGACCGTAATTAGCGTTATTTTCCACTGCGATCGAGATTCTGGCGGGGAAAGAGAGACAGAGAGAGGTTAGAGCAAGGCCGTGGAAAAGGTCAGAGTCGAAAATAATCCGTTTCTCTCGATTCCCGCGTGGAGAATGAGGAAGGAAGAACGACGATTTATTATTCCGCCTCCTCTCCGTGAAAACGACGATAAGTGCGCTGTGTGTACGTGTTATGTATCCCCGTTATTTACACAGCGAATCACGAAATTAAACGATAGTATATGTATCTAGAAATGGAATGAAAGTTTCCAAACTCGATTCTTTTACTAGGGATTACGTAAACGCACTCTCTAAAACATACAGGAGCTTATCGAACCCGGCACGGCGGGTCGAGAATTGAGCGAGGACGATCAACCGGTTTGTGATTATCGGAGATTTTATAAGAAACACCGGCCGACCGACCGGCCGGTCTCGATTGTGTCTGGTTTTTACAATCTATCGATATGCATGACGATACGTTAGAACTTGACTGATGGGCGCGTAAGGATCGGCTATTTTACATTCGGACCGTCCTTTCGACAATGTGCGCGCGAGCTGTTTTTAGCCGTCCGCGCTTGTTATTCGTATTAATCAAGATCGTGTTTTGGTGTTTTCAGACTCGAAGCGCTCCTCCGTGTCGGAACGCAAGATAAAGTGCCGATGAGGAATCGATCGGCGTAAAAAGAAAAAAAATAGGAAAAAAAACAGAAAGAAGGTTAGAAAGCGACGAGCAACCGTACACAGAGAGAAAAGCGAGAACGAAGTACACGATTAATTATCTAACATCGCGCGTTGAAGTTTTCCCGATGACGACGCCAAGGCGAGAAAAGCGGGACATGTCGCCCAACCGATCGCCATTTCGTCACTGTTTCATTGAGATATTAGAATACATCACACGTGAGTCACGCGTGCGCTCGATGAATACGAACANTTTTTTTTCCCCCCCCCCCCCCCCCCCTACCCAACTCTCCCCCCATCACTCTTTCACCCTTTCTCTCGAGACAGAATCGCCGACGCTCATTAACCCGACCATCTGTTGTCCTTCTCCTTCTGGCTCGCGGCTTCTCGCTTTCAGTCGCGGCGGTGTCGAGTATAAAAGGTAAAAGTGTAAAAGGCACGTTCGGGATATTGTTGTTTTTATCCGCTTCTACTTTTATTTCGCTATTTACTCGGATGCACAGTCGCGCAGACCGCGCGTATTTCGCGAAGATCTTTCAGCATTATCGAATATTGTAAGTATGATTAATTTGATATAACTTAAAAGATTACGTCCCCGTACATACGGAGAGAATTTTACAGTAAAAATTATAGTTTTGTAGGCTCGGAAAAAAACGAGTCGTTTTTTCAAGTTTTCCGTATATTTTTTCGGTTTCTTATCTTCTTTGTGAAAAAAAGATAAATGTGGCAGGTTTTAACTGAACGTGAATTTCTTTAAACGCGATTCTTTCTACGTGGAGGAAATATAGGAAAAATTATTTAAAATTTTGTGATGTTAGACCATGATGGCATTATAACGGAAATTCTGATGTGTGTTGTGATTTTTGCGATTTAATTCATTATACACATCATTGGAGATTACAATACATATAACAATTTCAGTCATAATTCCGGTATAGTTCAGTATTATGAAATTCTGTAGGAATTTACTACAATATTTTCTCCGTACACCCTTAGGGCAAAAACCGAAAAGAAATATGCAAAAAAAAAAGAGAAAAAACTTGGTTTTTCCGAGCCTTCAAAACTATAGTAAAAATTACTACAAGATTTTATGACCGAGGAATATATCGACATTCTCTACTTTAATTTATTATCCTTTCATTTCGTGCACTATTTATATTTCAAAAACTGGAGTTTACTATTAAAAAACAACAGTCTTCAGCAAATAAACTCTAATATTAGAAAATATGGCAACATTAACAAGAATTTATACGAAAAAAGTTAAAAAAAATATCCTCTTCTCCGTATAGAATTAATCAATAAATTATATTATTACAGTGTTACAGTGACACACTACGTGTGTCGATTTCTAATTTTGGTTCTACCCTTTCGATTCTTTTCCTGTATTTTCTCTCTTCTCGTTGCTCTTTAATTTGCATTCGGGATTATTTAACCGCGCTCGACACGATTTATCGGTCACGCTGATCGAATTCCAACTAGGTAAATTGCTTTCAAGTCGGAAGTCGATCGGAGGCACAGTGATCGTCCAACCATTTTGGCCCATGGATTCTCATCGTCGAAAGCGAAATTGGAATTTAGACGCGGAATGTAAAACAACTCCCCTCCCTCGCCGCCATTCGAGTGGAACGAATACAATTTTCGTCGAGCCCGGTTCTGTTTCGGGACTCGGCGAGACACAAACGTTCCTATTTATAACGATAATAATCAATACTGGCGGGGCGCAAATTAAGGTAATCAGTGAGATAAAAGCGACGCGAATCGGCACACCGTTATCAGCAATCCCGGATGACATGCTTATGACATGCTTTCGTTCTTGCGTGGAAGTTTTGTTTGAACAGCTGTCGGAAAGTTTTATTTTTTTTTCTTTTTTTGGAATCGCGTAGTTCAGAAACTGAAATATAAACACAACGTAGTTATGGGACATATTTCCACCATAACAATGATACAATAGAAAATACATTTCTTTTCCTTTTCGAAGCGGATCGTTCTCGTGCGTTACAATAGAAAGAGGAAACACCCAATAGAAGAAATAGATATTTTAAATATTTTTGAAATATTTGAAATATTTTTATCTAATGACTTGTGTATCTCGTTGAATTTGTATTAGCTTTAGTTAATCACCGTCCTCGCTCTTAACCTTGACTAATCGAGCGCAATTTCCTCGCATAAATTACCGAGCAATTTCATTTTTCTTTACAACGAAACATTCTTCCAGAAACAATTTTTACGCTGAAACATATCATTTTCCGGTCATACGTAAAACCGTATGCAAAAAGGCGTGTATTTCATCGATTGTCGAATTAAACGACTTAATTGATTCGGAATTAATCGAAGGTGCTCCTCGGAACGACAAATGAATGCTTTCTCGATCTTCAAGAGAATCTCATATTTCTTTAGAACAAAACGATTCCCGGGAAATAACACTCCAGCCGATCATAAATTATGTTCTGACGTGCAAAGTGCACGCGTGGAAAAACACATCCTGCTGCGTTCTTACAGCACGAAGTTTCCGATCAAAGTGCACTTCTTCTCGATCGTTCGATTATCAAAACTTGCACTAAAATTTAAATTCCGATGTAACCATAGACTTTTATGTACTAACTAGACTGCTCGGAATGCTAGGATGGCGGTGGAGATAAGTGTCATATCATTTAGAATATGTACATGACTGTGTGTATATCACGTGACCAGTTATGATGTCTTTCGTTATCAGAAAAATAGTGTGTCACTTTTCGTTCTTCTTTTTAGAACACGAAATATCACTAAACATATAAGGTTGCACATAACATAAAATGAAATAATAAAACACAGGTTTAAAGAAACGATGAGCAGCAAAAAGTGTTGTGTGAAGGACAGCAAAATAAAATACGAACGGAAATGTGATATCAAATACTGACGTGTGCCGCTTTAAGATTCTTAATTATGAATATCAGTATTGTAGGTCATAAGGAACTAATGCACGGATTTAATAATGCAGTAGACAAAACCTACTTAGTAATTAATCAATAAACTTGTATAGTTTATTGGTGAATTAACTTGTATAATTTATTGATTAATTATTAAGTGGTCTTTTGTCATTGCACTATTGAGTTTGCGCATTAGATCTTTATGGCTCAATATTTACTTATTTTTAGTTTATTTGGGAGCTTCCTATATTATTAGTTTGATTTTTTAATTATATATATTATGCATTATAAATCCTAATATCGTGTTTTATGTGTGTAAATTCCAATTGTGTCTTCAGTAGTGATTGTCGCTATCATTTATACAATGTACGATATATATTTAATCTCTTTAATTTTACACACA